AAGTTTTTATTGCTATTTTAGCTTCGACCTAGGCCAAAATAAAAGCGGATCCGTGGGACTGTTAAATTGCATTATACAATGCAAGATAATATGTACTTATTTTTTCTAGCATAGATCAATATCACCAATAGCTGTGAGGATTTTGATGGCTATCAATGGTAAAAAAATGTGATGCTAGATGTTTGATCAACATGTTTTGTTATAATAGTATAAATAAAGAAGTATATAGCACTTATTCTAAATTTGTAAAACAGGCTTGGGGAATATATAGTGTGTAAAATTATTATCATACCCCATATAACCAAAATATCTGCTAACAATCTAATCCCAAATATAGAAAACGTGTGATTGTTGACCGATTTATCATATTCAATAATTGTAGTGCATAAATATAGAATTATTTGTTTGAAAAGTTATCATGCTAAAATATCAGTGATGCCAGACATAATCTGTTTCAACTGATGTATACTGGTAAAGATAGGCCATAATAAAGGTAAAGGATATTCGATTTTAATTTTCAGATTGAGCTTTTTCATCACTTCTTCACTAATCCTTTTATAACCCTTCAAACTAAGATATTTCAAATTGGTATAGTTGCAGGCTATCTCCTCTACAGCTTCATCACCAATCAAACAACCACCAAGCTCAAGATGTCTAAGTTTTGGACATGAGTAAGCAATTTTGGTAATATATCGATTAGTGAGACATATATATGAATTAAGACTCAAATGCTGTAGTTTCAGAGAAAATCTCGCAATTTCTATAATTGGTATATTAGTGAAACCCTTATTTTTATCAAGAATGAGAAAGCGTATATCCAGACATGAATGAAGAATTGTACTGATTAAAGCATCTGAGATTTTTAAACCTTCCAATCTAAGATATACCATCTTTGAACAATAGATTAGCTTTATTTTTCCACACATAACTTTTTTAAAGTTTATCAATCAACTAAGAACCTGAGACATGTTTAGGGCACACCGGCTCTGCTGATAATCTTCGTTGAAAAACTCAACATGATGCCATAGAATAGAAGCACCGCAGTGATACCAAAGGTGGTTGACAAATAATGCAGGATAAAGGGATTGATGGAATTCTAAAAAATATAAGATCCATTTTAGCAATTCTGATAAATCAAAAATATTTAGTTGCTTCATTCTCAAGTTGTATATGATAATCGAAAAAATAACTAATGTTTGGATAATTAATTTTTAGGAGCAAATACTGTGAATATTATACACTACTTTGAATTTTCTGAATATTCTCAATTACATTTAAAAAAATCGTGTAGGTGTTTGTGTTTGAATGATATACAATATTGCATATAACAGTTATTCCTTGCAATTAATTTATTGGAATAAAATCATCGTAATACAACATAAATTTAATGCATGGCTAAAAGTCATAATTATGAAGCTGTGCTATAACAATTGATATTTATGGCTTATATATGTATAATGAAGACTTTTTTTATTCCATTTATAATGCAAACCAGTTCTACAGTCCTAAATTATTGTTTTTATACGTGTTAATTGTGAAACCGACCTTACATAATGGTTGAGTGATTTACTAATATAACTATAACACGTATATACGTATGTAGATATGTACGTATATACTTGCAATGTTGAATTATTTACAACCAAATATAGTATGTTTTATAGCCACATAACATCTATATAAAATTCTTTTACATAGATTTTTTTTTACCGATATTACATTACACTTTTCTACACAAGATAGTTTTTGTATTGATAAGACAGTTGGTGGAGCTATTTGTGCGGGTATGTTTAGTCAAGCAAAAAATTTCATCTCTAATATTGAGCGATAGGGCCTCTAACTATGTATATTGTGAGATTGAACATGCTTATAATTACCATCTGGTAGCCCAGTAATTTGGCGAAAGTGATTGTCTATTCCACAAAAATATACTAGTTATCCTTTAATAACATAGTCTTTTAGATGCAGTCATAACCTTTCGAGGTAGGCCTAGGATCTGACTGTTTCCTTTCTAAAATTTATTTTTTTATTTTACTCTTATAAAAACACTGTTTTGAGGACGTGATTGTCAACTATCATTACCTTGTTAGTAAGGGAAGGAAGACCGAATAAGCTTCCCATAGTTAGTCCACCGAACTACAAGATAAGAAATAGTTTAAATGTATCCACCTCGCTTTTTTGTTATTATACTTCTTCCCTGTTATTTATACAAAAAAATTCATTTCATATATACATTTTTTTTATATACCGCTTTGAGGGCGCAATCATTGGATTATCATTGTCTGCATAGCAAGGAGAGGAAGACCCGATGAGCTTCCTACAGTTTAGTCCACTAAGCTATGAGATGAGAAATAGTTTGAATATATCCACTTCGAAATTCTTTTTCTTATATTCAT